TTGCTGGCAATATGTGTTTTCCCACCGCAGTGTTTACACTTCCTAAGGCTAAGAGTAGCTTTAGGGCCAGGAAGTATCAGACTAGAAGCGGGACCAGCTCCAAGAATTCCCTTCTCATCGGTTCTAGGAGGAACCTTTGTGGAATTGGATTCCTTAGGTAAAAAGTTCACCTTGAGCTGTGACTTGGATTTCTGATGGGATTCAAATTTCCTAGTCCTTGAGGAGGAAGAAGCTTTACAAGCTGAAGGAATACACCTAGATCTATTAGACTTGTTAGACTTCTTAGGAAGGGATGATGTGACAACGGATTTACCTTTGTCTTTGCACCCAGAACTCGACGGAGTTCCTTCAAGATGACTCTTAGTAAAAGAGGAGGACTGAGAGGAAGAAGTGTTGGGAATAGAAGAGACGAAGGTACCAAACTTGAGCATGGACCTGTCTTTAACACATTCTTCCTGATCATAGGAGAATCCTAGACCATTCGTTATCTTGGCGGGAATCTGAGCGTTAATGATCTCAGAGGCCTTGATGGAAGCTTTGTACCACCCCTCAATGGTAGCTTTTTCGGCCTTGAGTTCAGCGATGGCTCGCTCACGCTCAGCGATAGCCTTCTCACGTTCAACAGTGATGGCTTCGTTTACAATAACCTGATCTTTAAGATTTTCCTCAACAGAGGTCAGTTCTTTGATCTTAGAATGGCAAATCTTCAATTGCTCTTGAAGATCAACGTTAAGCATTTCAGCTTTCGATTTGCCATTGAGGGCATTGTAGAGGTCAACCGTCAGCGTATCCAGTGCAGAAAGACTAGGAGAAGAAGAAGGTTCATTTAGGAAACACATCTGAGTAGAAGAAGAAGATGGCTCAGAGGAAGTAGATGCTTCTGAAGATCCTTCATCTGCATCTATGGCCATCAAGCAGACATAAGCTTTATCCTCCTCATCCGAAGATGATTCATCGGATGACTCAGCCCAGTCATGCTCTTCAGCTATAAGGCATTTAGCCTTTCGCTGGTTGTTCTTTATCTTCTTGTACTTCTCCTTCAGTTTTGAGTACTTCTCATCTTTTGTCCTGAAGGAGGAAGAAGCTTTAGAAGATGGCGTCGCAGTCTTCTTTGATCTGCATTTACATGCAAAGTGTCCGGGCCGGTGACAGTTGTAGCAGACAGCTAAAGCTTTGTCTATTCTTTCAGACTTCGTCTTTTCCCTGAGGGATAGCTGAGGAGATCTGTGGAAGTTGCTCTTACTGGCGAACCTCCTAAATGACTTAGTCAGGAGTGCCAGAGACACATCAAAATTTGTTAAATCAGATTCTGGAATGTCCTCAGAGATAGAAGAATCTATCTTCGTGATAACAACGGGAGGAAGAGAAGAAACAAACGGGGTAGAAGAAGTTTCAACTGAAGAAGATTCAGAGATCAAAGCCAGAGGAGAGCTTTTCATTTCCCTGGATTCTTTTACAAGATTCATTTTCAGTTGACGAGATTGCTCATGGTTAAGCAGAATCTCGTATAAAGTAGAAAGAGAAAGAATGGACATGTCATTTGACATCTTGAGACACATGGAAAAGGTGTCCCAAGACTCAGGAAGGCATTCTAGAAACTTGGTTAAAGTTTCAGAGTTAGAATATTCCCTGCCGACAGCCCTAAGATCAATAAGAAGGCAGTTAAATCTCTGATGTACTTCAAACATTGTCTCAGACTTTCCACAGAGAAAGCTTTCATATTGTCTTACTAGATTGATCTTTCTGGTCTCTTGAACCTGAGTGGTTCCTTCATATTGGACACAAAGTGTGTCCCACATGGATTTAGAAGTTTTGAGTTTCATCACTGAATGATAAAAATCTCATCAGGAAAAGACATAGCTATTAGAGACCGAGCACGCGTGTCTATAGCTATTTTCTTCTTGTCCTCATCGCTACATTGATGTGGAAGCTTTGGAATCTGCCGTTCAGAAATTGCTGCAGTCGTAGATGTTGCTGGAACAGCCGGAGCAATAGCAAATGGAATATATGGTCCATTTTCTATATAATGTGGAATTTCATGATCCACACCTTCCAAAAGAGGGACATCCGGTTCTTCCAGAGACTAAAGTTGTCACGGAAAAAAACCGAGGTTTAGCAAGAGAGCCATTATCTTTTGTGTGTGTTTGTAATTTGTAAAGCCATTTGTAAGCGGTAAAGTTATCTAAGAAAGAAGATAAACTAATACTGAAAACAGCTAAACACAAAGAAAGAAAGAAAGAAAACATTGCTCTGATACCACTTGTTGGTCCCTTGAGGGTCTACAAGAATAGTAAAACAGTTTGTAGAAGGGGGTGATGAATACAAACACAATATTTTCAAATTTAAAATATATTGATAAAGAAGATCAATACAAATTTTACAAGATTGTTTGCGGAAAGATAAAGTGATAAAAACCTATCTAAACAATATTTAGTTACACACTAAGTCTTAACAAATACAAGAAAAGAATTGTTGAAGAGAAGATCCTTTACTTAAGCTAGAAAGTG